ATCTTCGATTTCTCGTTAACTCTCCCACATTAAGGCCTATGATACGTAATCGTATGATACGTAATCTGTAAAAACATTCTACATTATTTTTGTGTATGTATCTGAAGTTATAAAGCTATAAATATGACCAAATTGTGGCTACTGCAGCACCGCTGAGGACGATAAATGCCGTCCAACTCTGTGGTGTTGAAACCGTTCCGAGTTTTTATTATCCGTCCGTCTGAAGGTGGGCGGAACTTAGTTGGTCGAACAATGCTTTAGCGAATGCCAACTTCTCACCGAAAGACACTTTAGCAAATGGTCGGCCGTTGCGAAGCGGCGTTTACAGGTGGTCCAGGTCAGGCGCGAATCCAAGGGGAGGGGGGCGGGGGCCGCTTCCCCAAACAAAGTCGACTCCCCCCGTCCCCCCTTCTCGGAGGGCAATTTGACATGGGTGGACCCCTCAGTGCACACAAATGAATAAGAGAGTAGTATCCTTACAAATTCCCCCCCCCCCCCCCCCCCCTCCCCAAAAAACGGAGTTTCGAATCCGCCCCTCGTCCAGGTAGGTTAAAATCTTTTAATGAGCCCCCTGAGACTGTCGTTACAAAGCGGCATGAATACAGCAGGGCGGGTGGGCTGACACATGCCCAAGTCATTCGCTAAAACGTCGATTCGCTGAAATGACCGCTGTTCGCTGAAACGTCATTCGCTCATCCGATATGGAGCCCTCTGAAGGCAACTGCACACGGAGAGAAGAAGCCTGATCCTTGGGCCTGGCCGGCGTGCCCTGCTGTTTACACCAACGTGCGCCGGAGAGCCAGGTGGAGCGCGCTATGGTGCCTCAACGCCCTTCTGTTTAAGGTTATGCTTTTCTATGTAGAACACGATGCCTATAGCACTCGCTCACACTAAAAATGCAAAAAAAGAATTGCCGAAAAAAAAGTGCTGTTAATGTCAAGAGTTCGTGCATGGAGGGAGGCGCCCTTTCGTGCTTTCTGAAGAAAAATAAATGCACAAAAGCGTCCGGAACAAAATGTTCAGTTGTCGTCACATTAAGCAAAGCCCGTACGATGGTGCTTTAATTAGTGTGGTGCGCGCTCCGTCTGCTGCTCACCTCACGGGCGCCTGCCAGGAGGTGCGGCCGCATTAGCCACAGGCCCACCATGGCGGCGGCCCCAATGCCATGAGGAGGCACGCCAGTTTCGCAGCACCATATTGTGTTACCGCCAGTCAAAAGGCTGAGATGTTAAGTGGAGCCACTCCGGTTGCTTCCTTTATGTGACGTACACAGAGACCCTGCACGCCGGCCATTGAAAACACTTCGCAAAGCATGGGCATGAGAGTTCCTCTCAATCACTCAGGATCGCACGCATTTGGCAGTGTGATGCCCTACTCGAAGGACATGTGCTCAGCATGCTGTTGCATGAGTATGTTCTGAACAATGCATTTCTTGATATGTTCCGGGCCTTGTGGTACCCGCTTTCGCTGTAAGTGCATAGATGTCATTGGAGGTGACTGTGATTACTTTGTGCTGAGTGGTACCAGCACGTACAAGTGTAACTCTTGCACGAAGCGCAATGACTTCGACGAGGTCAGTGCTGCCACGAAAATACGCCCCCTAATGATAGCGACACGTCATCGGGAAACACCATCGTTGGGAACTGCAGCACTTGTGGCTGTATCAACGACCTGTTGGTGGCACTACATGACAAGATTGATTCTCTCGTCAAAGAAGTTGTCTCTGTCAAGGCGGAAAATATGTGTCTGCTTCTGCACCTGTCAAGAAACATGGAATTGCTGCGTCACTTTACCGCCTAATCCGTCGAGCCACGGCCAGCTACAATGCCGTTTTCGCAACCCGGTCCCGAGTCTGCTGGCTTCGTGACGATCCTCGGAAAAGATTTGCCTTTATGATCTGTCGCACCAAGCAGTCTGGATACGTCCGGAAGCAATTTTACTTCCGCCCTTCAGCATCCATCAACATCTACCGTGGTTCTCTACTCCTCACCGCCGCCCACAGTGTCTGTGTCGAGGCCACCTACAGACGCCGACGGTTTTACACTCATCCAACGCAAGAAAAGAATCCAGCCATCATCAGATTCCAGTGCAGGCAGTAAGCTACCTTCAGCCCCTAGAATGGCGAGGCTTGAGGTGCTTTTTGTTTCCCATCTCAAACCGGACACTTCAGGTAGCGATGTCGGGGAAGTGCTAACTAAAGTTTTGCGTGGGAACTCTTTTACACGCACGAAATTGAAAACTAGACACGAAAGCTACTCTTCTTTTTGCGTTGCTGTGAATGAAGAAGAATTTCACAAAGTGAGCAATGCCAATGTTTGGCCCATGGGCTCTCTTTTCAGGCCACTTTTCGGCATTGTACGGGACAATGAGGATCGTGAAACAGTTACGCCAAACTAGCTCGTCCAATGAATTGTTCAGTGTTTTATCAAAACGTCTGTGGCCTGTGTACTGAGACTAATAGGTTTTTCAACAACACTGCTTTAAGTTTTTATTTCTTTCCAGAATACAGAGTGTTGCGTCAGGACCGAGATTATGAAAAGCTTTCTGTTAAATTCGGTGGTGGTGTACTCTTTGCAGTTGTGAAACATCTGCGGATCACTTGCTTGTTTGATCTTGAATTTGAGTGTGAGTGTGTTGGGATTGAAATAACACTTTGTGATAACTTCTTGTTATGAGGTTCAGAGAGGGAAAGCCGGAAGAGATGTTGGCCTCCTGTGCGGGGCGAGTCGCTACCCGGCTAAAAGTGATACCATTAGTTTACTAATTGATATATATTGAATATATATTCGATGTATTTTTTGAAAATATATTCTATATACATCGACTCGTGATAACACTAGTTTACTAATCAGCACTTTTTATTTTCCTCCTAATCTCGACGAATCTAGTATGTTTTCAAATCACTTGATGCTGGTAGATAAATTGGATGTAGATTGACATTGTATGCTCATTCTTGGAGATTTCAACATTCCTGATATAAACTGGAATATGCATTGCTCTGTCGACTGGCACTGCCTCATTTAAGGTGAATGCTCTTTTTTCATTTGTTAACTTTCTTGGATTTACCAAATTGAATAGTTTGCAAAACTTAGCAGGACATGTGCTGGATCTGGCCTTGGTCAATTTTTTTCTTCGCAACATTGGGTGTTTACAGTCCACTGGTATTACGGGATGTTTGGCACGTTCCTTTTTCTGTTTCCTTCGCGGTTTTCACCGGGAAAGAAAAGTACAACAAGAGAGAGTTGCTTGCTTTCCCAAGAGGCGATTACTTTGGCCTTTATCAATATTTAGATAATGTAGATGGGGCATACATATATAGCATGACAGAATTAAATGGTGCCATTGAAACGTTTACAGACTGTATCGTATCTGCACTACTCATATTCGTCTTTCGAGTCGATTGTTATGAATTTCTCCCGACTTTCCATGTGAATCAAATCATCCCAACCAATCCCATGACCCGTATTCAACACTTCTATATTACCCTCGGCGTAATCCAACTTTTGTGGTGTTTGTAACTAACCTGTGATCAGTCTGTTGTGCGTCATTGTCAAGGCGTCGAGCTGTTCATGAGCACAGAAAATAAACAAATGAAGGAATTTTCTTATTCAAAAATGCACCAAGAAGTCTCACTCTAAAACCACCGACGGCCTTTGTGCCGTCAATTTGTTTCTTTCTGACCACCCTCCAGCATTTTTATACTTTCTAAAAATAATGAATTTGTCCATGTTAGAACATTAAAGTGCAAAACGACGAGGAAGGAAAAAAGAGGGAGACAGGAAAGAGTGCTTACTGACAACTGACAGTTTATAGGTACTCCCAAAAGAGAAGGAAAACAATGTTCAGAGTGTTATTAAAATGCAAAATAAAGAGAATAATTCTACAAAAACATACGGTATATGTAAAGTGAATCCCATTCACACCATTAAAGGGGAAATTATTGAGGTTACTTAGTATTCAGTAATGCATTCCCAAAATTAAATAAAAAAATGATCAAATTATTCTTTTTGAATAATTTAATGGTGTAAATGAGATTCACCTTATCTTTTTGTAGAATTATTTTCTTTTTTCATTTTGATACCCCCTTAAACTTCGTTCTTCTCCTTCTCTTTAGTATTAAATGTCAGTTGTCAGTAAGCGCTCTTTTCTGTCTCCCTCTTTTTTCCTTCCTCGTCGTTTTGCGCTCTAATATTCTAATATATACAACCAACGAGTGCTGCGGTAGCCTCAATTCACGGTGCTGTGGTAGCCTCAATTTGGTCATATTAACTTTATAACTTCAAATACACAAAAATAATGCAGCATGTTTTTTACAGTTTGTTAGTACCTATCATTGGCCTTAATGTGGGAGAAAGAAATTGAAGATGGCCTTTTTCTTTAATTAATTTTCAAAATAACTCTAATTTTTAAAATGGCCCCATTTGAGCATTTCTCATAAATTTATTTCGCTACTCAGGATAACGATATTTAGTGCCAATATTAACAAGATACAGGACAACACGTTGACAAAGTTTAAAAATTCTGACATTTATAGATTCATAGGAAAAAAAAAATTAAATGTAATATTTTTTGTAGAATGTGTCATGTTTGAGATTTTTCTTTGGAAATTAACAATGTTGAAACTTAAGGATACATATTTGGAGTCAATCCTCCTTGTACATAGTTTGTCAGTAAATATTTCTAGACCCCTAGCCACACCAGTTCCTTTGGGAGGGGTGCCTGAAATGCCAACTTCGTGCAGTTTGCAGAAAGCACTTGGACTGTGTGTGTGCTTCTAATTTTTTTCCACAAAAACAAAAAACAAAAATTTTGCAAAACAATTTTTGTTTTTGTTTTGATAGACATTGGGAGTTTACAAAAAAAAAATTTTTTGGCAAAAATTAAAAATGGTGAATTGTCATGGTCGGTTGAACTTATTTGAAAACATGGTATAGCACCTCTCGGGCAGAAATTCCGAAGCACGTAGTTTTCGTTGGATGACATCGTGCATCTCGTTGCAGGAGCGCTGACGGGCCCCATCAACTACTACCGGGCGAACATCCTTAGCCAGGACAGGCGGTTGCAGGGTTTGCGCTACAGCTACATCAACACCCCGACGCTGATCGTGTGGGGCGAGGGGGACGCCTACCTGACGCGCAAGCTGGCCCAGCTGAGCATCCAGCAGGCCTTTGGCCGCGTGGAGTACGTAGCCCACGCCTCCCACTGGGTGCACCGGCAGTGCCCCCGCAAGGTCAACGACCACATCCGCACCTTCCTCAAGAACACCGAGAGGTCGACGGCCGCCTAACTTCGAGCCGCTCCGACCGGCCGTCCCAAGTCTATTCTCTCTCCGACGTTGGACCGACCTCTTTCGGGACTGGGAAGGCAAACTTACGTTGTGTCTCCGATGTATGGCCAGCTTCTGGCAGACACACGCCCCACTTCTGGTCAACCTCTGGCCCACCTCCGGCCAACTTCTAGCCCACCTCCGGCCAACCTTCAGCCAGCATGTTTGGCAGACGTCCGGCGACGGCTAGACTTTTCTCGTAGTGCTGTTGCAGCAAGGCAGAGGCTGCCAGTTTGGTCGATTGCGTGGCTGGTGTATGGCCGACTTATGGGAACTCGCAACACTGCTTGGCTGCTATGTGACAGGCATGTCTCGCTTCGTTACTGCAACAATTGTGAATGGAAGCTGCCAGTTTTGTGATGCGTAGTATTTCGGAGTAACGGCGTTGTCAACTAGTTTGGATGGTTGGTTGGATGGAGTCTGGGGACGGAATGACCAATGCATACTCGAAGCATTTCATATCAACATAGCCCTGCGGTGGCAAGTTCGTGGCAGTTTATTGGTGGCTGCATTATTTGCGTGGCAACGGCGGGACTCGGAAAATTTGCGGCAAGAGTGCGATTGTGGTATGTGTATACCCGGAACACAAGCGGAGGTTTTATGGTAGAGCGATAAGCATTTAATGTGGCCAGAGTTGCGTCTCACATTGTCTCCTGCCGCTTGAAATTTTTAGGATGGACTACTTGAACAGTGGTAGCAAGAATTGTAAAAAGAATGACAAGTACAAGTGGTTGTGGGTGTGTTTCGTGGCTCATAGGTATTTTTGTTCGGTTCGACGTACCTTTGATTCGTGAAAGGAAGGGTCCAAAGACTCCAGTGCATCATGCTCAAGCTGGTATATTCTCCTAGCACATGTTTGCAATGTGTCCATGGGCGTACCAAACGGGGGGGGGGGGGCAAGGGGGCGTGTGCCTCCCCCAGTTCTCGGAGTGGGGGGGCAAGGTATGTGTTTTGCCCCCCCTGAAACAGTCAACACTGGGCAGCGCAAACACTGGACGGCGGCGTCCAAGGGGTATACCAAGGGCACCGCCCCCCCCGGCCCTGGCGGGGGGGGGGGGGGGGGGGAGGGGAGGGGAGGGGAGGGGAGGGGAGGGGAGGGGAGGGGGTCTGGTTTGCCCCCCCACTCAAAAACAAGCTGATACGCCACTGAATGTGTCTAACCTTTGGAATGACTCATTTTTGCCAAGGCCAAAGTTCACTCTGTTTAAAAGTATTTTTTCGTATGCGTTAGACTCAATTTTTTACTGTTCTTTTTGTTTTACTTGTGCGCTGAAATGTGTGAGTTTCCCATACTACGTAAAGTGGGCAGCTTGCCTGGTGCCCATATTGGCATTGTGGAGTTCCGAGGTGTGATGATGGCAGCAGCTTTTAGGCTGTAGCAGGCAACAGCTTCGAGGCTATGGAAGTACTCTATGTCAAAGGCTTCCTTATGCTTGGAGTAGTGAGATATTACGTATATTCCAAAATGTTCTCTAGCTCAACTGACTCACCACTAGCTGAAACTAATATGCCGGGCAACTTTCCTCATGCTCATTCTCCTGTCTAACAGTACTTTGAATGGAGCAGGGTTAAGAGTAATCTTCACACTGAAAACTGCTATTATAAATTTGATTTTTGTTTATAACTAGTCAGTTCGTTGTGGCCTACTGACACATAAATGTGCTTACATGTTATTGTGGCCGCTATCGTGGCTGCCGCTGCCCAAAATCAATAACGGAATGTAGAGCTAAGGTTAGGTTCTAATAATCTAACGGAAAAAAAAAATTAGAACACTTTTCTTTTTTTTTAGCTGCTGAGTCATATTTTGGAAATGCGCTGGGGTTTTTCCCTTGACATAAAAATATAGTGCATGAATTTCGGGAAGTGGTTATGGCCTTTGGAATATCTACACCCTCGGGAAACAGATATATATGCATTCTCTTAGATTACAAGGCATGCCTGGAGAGCAGTTTTGATGTCCCAAAAATTGACTCCTGTTTGTGCACAGCACTACATTTGTATTAACATCCACGTGTGAGTGCTCCACCTTGAAAGGAAGTCTCTCTTATTTGAGCACATATTTTTTTTTTAGTGGGAAATTGCAACATGTGATTCGGTTTTTGTTTTGTTTATAATATTTGTGCAGTGGCCTTCCCTTTAAGATGTCCTGGTTGTGTAAACTGAACCTGATTATTAACTAATACACTTCGGTTGCTGGTTCCGAGAAATATGAGGCCGTGTTCTGTTCGCATGTTTCAGTAACTAGTTAGGCGCAGTATGGCCATCGGAGCTCTGTCGCCATAAAACCCGCAAACGACGACAGTATGTTTCAGCAAACTCAAAATCTACAGAAATTGCTACAATGTCAAAATGTGAGTTTAAAAAAAAAAGTTGGGTTATTTGTTAGCAAGAGCTAGAACTTGGCCTTAAATACGTTAACATTTAGCATAAATGGCACTTGTGCATGGGCTGATATGTGCGTGATCCAGTTCGAATGTCCCAATTTTGTGATCATTTTGGGTCCGGTTCTTTCTGCTGTGGGCACTGTCCTTGTTAACACTGAGGGTTTTACCACTCCAAGGCTCATGTAATAAAAGCAAAAGCAAACACCTTCCAGTTTGATTTTTTTTTTTTTTTTTGCATTTATTGAACACATGGCTTCTAGAAACATGTCATTCAGCATCGCAACCAACTCCCGGGCTAATGCAGCTCCTGTTGCCATTTTTTTCTTATTTGCAATGAATAGTGTAGGGAGTTCTCAAGATTCTGATTATTACAACTTGGCCTATTGCGTGCTTCTGCAGTTAACTGTTAAAGGCTAGTTCACGCGGCCCCGTTTTCTTACGTCACGTGAAGTTGCGAAAGCTTACGTCTGCTTGCGCGCAAATCACGGGGACATCTTGTAGTCCTGTTCGGCTGGCCAGAGGGTGCGCCCCCCAGTTCAAGAAGATAGCCTGCCATGCGATATTCGAATATATGTAGGATTTCATTTTTTTTATGAGTTTAATTTTAGCAGTCTTGGGTAGTAACGCGTTACTGTAACTTAGTTACTTTTTTGGTAACTTGTAACTGTAACAAGTTACTTTTTAAAAATGTAACTTGTAACCGTAGTTCTATTACTTTTCTCTAAGGTAACGACGAAAGTAACGACGTTACTTTTGTCGTTACTTTGCAGTGTTTTATGAACAATATATCATAGCCATTCCTTGTTGCACTTTCCAAATCGTCTATTCCGACATTTCGAGTGTCAAGTTGGCCTTGCACAAAGTTGTGAATACGTTCTTTCTGGCGAGTCACGACCCGATTATAGCCACGTGCAGATGTTATGAAAAAATATCTAGTTATCTTTGCGCACGCGCTTGTACTTTGTGCCTGAACACTTACATCTTAGTGTCTTGAAGCACTACCTATGTTGAGTATTTTCTTTTTTTTTGTGCAAACGTTTTTTAATCGGGTGAATCAACCGTAAAACAACAATACACGTGAAGGGCACTGCGCATGTCTCATATTTTGATTAGCGCCACTACTCCGCACTGCGCATGTTTCGTATTTGTTTTTGCGCCACTACTCTGGCGTGGAAACTTTCAAACAGTAACTTCGAGAAGCAACTGCTGCTAAGTTAGAATATGAAGTAAAAAGCGTACTTTTTAATTTTATGCAATAAAACGTTGCGAGGGGCGTTCTCTAGTTTTTCCTAATTTTTTTGTGTTATAGAAAAGTAACTGAAAAGTAACGTCGTTTCTTTTTAAAAGTAACTGTAACTGTAACAAGTTACTTTTTTGTTGCGGTAACTGTAACGGTAACTTCGCTACTTTTTTCTGAAAGTAACTAACTGTAACAAACTACTTTTTAAAAGTAACTTACCCATGACTGAATTTTAGTGAAATTCAAAAAATGTGTTTCAGAGATTTTTCTTCTTTTTTTTTTCTTTTTTTTTTAAATTACGAGTTTATCAGAGTTTATTTTCCGAAATTCGGACTTTAATTTCGCACTTTTTCCTTTTTAGAAACAAATAATAGGGAGTTTTAGTAGACCGTTTTTTCCCCTCCGCTAACCCTCCGCTACGAAGAAACCGCCACTGCGCTTGCGCGCCGATGGCCTTGGCTGTAGAGTTCCGGGTAGCGGAGGGGGAAACACGGTTTACTAAAACTCGCTAGTAATAGGGAGTTTTAGTAGACCGTGTTTTCCCCTCCGCTACGAAGAAACCGCCACTGCGCTTGCGCGCCGATGGCCTTGGCTGTAGAGTTCCGGGTAGCGGAGGGGGAAACACGGTCTACTAAAACTCGCTAGCAATAGGGAGTTTTAGTAGACCGTGTTTTCCCCTCCGCTACGAAGAAACCGCCACTGCGCTTGCGCGCCGATGGCCTTGGCTGTAGAGTTCCGGGTAGCGGAGGGGGAAACACGGTCTACTAAAACTCGCTAGCAATAGGGAGTTTTAGTAGACCGTGTTTTCCCCTCCGCTACGAAGAAACCGCCACTGCGCTTGCGCGCCGATGGCCTTGGCTGTAGAGTTCCGGGTAGCGGAGGGGGAAACACGGTCTACTAAAACTCGCTAGCAATAGGGAGTTTTAGTAGACCGTGTTTTCCCCTCCGCTACGAAGAAACCGCCACTGCGCTTGCGCGCCGATGGCCCTGGCTGTAGAGTTCCGGGTAGCGGAGGGAAAACACGGTCTACTAGAACTCCCTAATATCCAGGTGTAAACGTATGTTGGTTAAAAAATAAAACGTGACTGTATCAATTAATATTTCTTCAGCTGGATTTGGTGTTGGTGCCACTGCCATTTGCAATATACTAATTTGTCCCACGACAAAAGTTGCGCACAAGTGTTGCTTCGATAAACGTCGATACCCTAAAGGGCCCATGAAACGAATTTTGGGTTGGGATAAATCATTTTTTGATTTGGGATTTTACTAATATCACATCGTTTAGTGGGTCAAAAGAAAAAAGGTACAAAGTCAAAAGCCTGACTTTCAGTGTGAAAATTTGAAAAGCACAGCACAGGGTCTGATCAGCGTTCAACTTTTATCGCATAAGTTTGTGCCCCGAACTAGCGATTTTCACCGCACTATAGGGGCTTTCATGGCCACCATGAAAATGTGAGAGAAAAAAAATCCCATCGTTCGTGTATGTGCACTGTGTCAAATAGTGTCACGCAGTGTACACACTTCACATCAGGTCGCTCTGCTGTGAACAAAAAAAATATTTTAAATTTGAGATAATTTTATTTAATCAGACTGATATCACTGTTGCTAGAAAATATTGATTTTTAATTATTTATCACTATATGCATCTTTAAACTGAGCTGAGCTCGGCCGTGCAGCCACTCCGGAGTCTGCCCGCGCATGCTGTGCTCGCTCGGTGGCCAGCCGCCCCCTTACCGGCGGCCGGGCCGCCATGAAGGGGTAGCACTCCTTGGAACTACGCCGCGCGAGAGCCAATGGGAGCCTCGTTCCTTGAAACTATGACACGTGCCAGCCAATGGGAGCCAATCCCTCTGATCGCTGCTACAGACAACGGGCTTCGCCCCATTAGGACAGGGGAGTTTAGGTGCCGTTCGGCGCGGCTTCAAAAGCTGATAACGCCGGTTCGCTCCATGGGACCCAGTTCATGCTTACGTAATAAAACCGGATTCTCGCGCGGACATCGCGATCCTGGTTGTTTGTCGTATAAGTTTCGGCAAAAATCACGAGCGGACGCGAGTCGCTGTCGTCACGGTGTTCCTAGAGCTCCTGTATAGGGAGTATTCACTGGCGGCCATATCTGTGTGCGCGACTGCTGAACGCGTGCTGACGGCGAGCTTCCACAGTTCTTTTGCAGCGTGCATTCCACACCATCAAGATTGCCAGTCTTAGCAGGCTATTGCAAGCTCGTTCTGAGCATGCGCCCTAAACATCGCCCTCAAATATGGCGTCCAGTGAATGCCCCCTATAGGCTCCCTACGGGAGCCAGAGTTGCGCGTCTGTTTTCCACGTGCCGCCGCGCCGCTATTCGAAGAGATCCGATCACGTGAGAAGCCGGATCTAATCCGCGCAGGAAAGTAGACGTTGCAAGCGCCCCGTTCCCCTGCTTTTGAGCGCGGCGCCGCTATTCGCCGAATTCAGTCACGTGAGGAGCAGGGTCAACATGCCGTGCAGGAAAGCCGGCACTACGGGGGTGAACACGCAACTCTGGCTCCCGTAGGGAGCCCATAAACAGGAATTCTAGGTGTCCCAACTCTTGGCTGTTGCAGCTTCCGTTGACTGTGCAGCTGGAGGGCGACCTGCAGCGCAAGAGGCGTCGGCCACACTCACCACCGCTGCTGCGACGCCGCTAGGATCGCGACCGGCGACCACTTCGTGCCACTTGTATCGCGTCATCCGGCGGAAATCGAGGAACCAGTTTTTTGGACACGGTTAACAGACCAGTCGGAGACCCGTTCCAGGGGACTATTCTGAGGGGAGAAGGGCGTGCCATCTCCACGGCCGCGCCCGACCTGGCGGAAGCCTCAGGGAGTTACGTTGAAATGACGCTGGTTGCTCCGTTCATATCGGTCGAACCATCGTGTATTTATGGACAGGTTATTACCCTAGACATTGTGCACCTCTAGTTCGTCCAGGAATTAGCAGCGTCTCGTACACATTCGCTTGTTTTACATACTTTGAAACTACATGAATCACGATAGCATTGAGGATTCTATGACTCTTTCATCTTGTTGGCACAGTCTGAGTAGTTGTCAAAGGTATAACTGAAGGCTATAGTCCTGGGATAAAACGCAAAAGGAATATTGTCCTATCGCTTCCTAATTGATCATAATTGATCGCTTTGGCTACGGCTAGAAAGGCCTTAGTGGTAGGTGCGAAAAAATAGAACATAAATAAAGCATCAGTTTGCAGTCAATTTTCTGAAAGGGGTCATGAAATGAATTTGGACCTGGGATAATTTATTTTCGATCGTTATTTTACTAATCGCTTATCGTTTAGTGGGCCAAAAGGAGAGGGGTACAATTTCAAAAGCCTGCTTTTCGCTTCGAAAATTCGAAAATATAGCGTACTATTTCGTACCTTTTTTCCATCGAAAGCCTTCCGCCTTTTCACCGCGATACATCCGCGGTACTTAAAACACGCCAGCCTACCCCAGCTCACGCATTGTACAGGAGGACGTACTGCGTCACTCGGACGGATGCGCTCGTCAACAATAAAGCCGTCAATGATTATTTGAATTCGCGTTCGTGGAGTGCAGCGACGACACTTAATATCACTTGCGAACGACAAGTTCCATTGTGTGCTTAGAAATGACGGTGGAAGCTGGGAGTCATCGTACTGGTGTCCAAGCGCGTCACGAACGCGTGATTTCTCATTTTGTTTTTGAGTTGAGGAAGAAACCTAAGGAGGAAGACCTTGAAATTAATTTCGTGGCCCCTGTAATAAAAGCCACAATGTAACTCCCAGTGGATCAATCATGCCATATTTGCCCTCGTATGTTAATCTTTGCGCTCTAATCAGTCAAAGGTCCTCAGAATGAAGCATTCATAAGACGTGCCTAAATAGTCACGAGAAATGCAGGCTATAGATATAAATTATTACACTAGCACGAACGAAAAACGCAAATGATTCTAAAATGAAGGTATGTTCGACTGACAAGGAAACAAAATCGGCTATCCAAGTTAAATAGTTTGGGAATAATGAAAGAATAAACACGTAAATCAAGGGGCAACACAACCATATCTTTCAATGATGGGGTCGTGTTGTCCCGATTATAGTAGACATTTGGGCGCGTTGGTAAAAGTTCATAGTGAAAAACAGCAGGAAAGGGGGAACAAAGAGAAGATAGTGTATCTCTCTTTTTCGTCCTCGTCCAAGTCGCGCTGGTTTGTACTGTGTTATCCCTGTTTTACAGGTTTCTTCTTGTTTTCAATCCTGACCCGCACCAACACGCTCTTCGTTCATCAATTAAATGGTTTTTCGAGCTTTTAAATTTGCTTGTTTTTCCTTTACTCTCCTTTATTTCCCGCTCGCCCATTTTACTATATTTAGGCTCCTTATCAGCGGCCACATCCGTCTATAGGTCTTATACGTTGTAGGAGCTATTACAAATGCAAAGACTGATCGACGTATTTCAAAGTAATTTATCTTTTCAGTTGAGAAAACGCCAGTCAGCACAGTAAACGAAATGAAGGTAATGAATTCACGTGCTTACCACAGCAAAAGCATAGTGGTAAAAGTTAGAAGTAGAGCCGTGACACTATTATAACAATGACATCCAAAATCTTAACCTCTCAGAATGAATAATTAAGAGGGTTTTACAGATTTAAGGAGCAGTTACAATAACTATACTTTAGAAACAGTAAAAAAAATCCCTCACACACACACACACTCTGGCCACAGTATGGCAGCTCTTAGAGTTGCCATTGACACAACCATTGTTTGAGGGTTTCGATATACATAGTTTCTCTGCTTGCGAGGTATTTTGTTTACTTGCCTTCCTGAAGCTCTCAAGCTAGACCATTACGAAGACTAAAACACCTTTGAGATTCCCCTAGCTTCTTCGAGACATCTGATCTTCCACGACTGCCATAATCACAGTATCATCAGTTGAAAGACGCAGCCGTATCATACCATGTCCATTTACCATCTTCTAAGTGATTATTACCTTTCCTTGGCTTCCCAGGCGACCACTTCTAGGGAAACCACAGCTTTCGAAATATTTCAGGACACAGTTCCGCGACAAAAGCGCGCGTTACCAATCCCAAGATTATTAATTAGTAGTGTAGGCTGCTGGGCAAGTTAGTGCATTTAGTTGGAGCATGTTTAAGTACAAAATAAAATAGCGCAGAAGAGACAAGGACAAGAAAGTAGCCACGCCCCGTTTTCTTTCTCCTCCTCGTCTCTTTTGCGCTATTTTGTTTTGAACGCCAAGATGATTCCTTCGAGACGTGCACAATTTCGGAGACCAGGAGTCTCACTCTTGCCGAGAGGTACGCATTTTGAAAGCCATCGGAGCACTGCGAAAGTTCACACGCACATCTTCAGTAGCAGGCGGCTTCAGCTAAGGTCTTCAGTGCCTCGGCAGAAGGGCACCCCAGTTCCAGGACCACTGCTTCCAAAACCACCCAATGAGAGACTTGGGGATGGACGACACCTCCCATTTCCAGAACCACTACTTCCAAGGCCACCGGACGAGCAGCTTGGAGATGGACGACACCTCCCAGTTCAAGAACCACTACTTCCAAGACCGCCCGACGAGCGACTTGGGTATGGACGACACCCCCAGTTCCAGGACCACTACTTCCAAGACCACCCGGTGAGCGACTTGGAGATGGACGATGAATGGTAGAGTGCTCCTGGTCCCAAGCGTCAGATGTTGGGTAAGTGGTCAAACTTGCGGGTTGCCGCCGCCTGTTGGTGCGTCTGCGCCTGCTGAGGCATCTGCCGCGAGTGCAGCTGCGAGGCTCGTACGTCAGGGGTCGGGTATCCGCTGCCAGAGTGGCCCGGGAGGTGCGGGAACAGCGACTGATGCTGCGTGCCGTTCTGTAGGAAAGTGGACTGTTTTCGCATTTCAGACACTTCGGGAGCGATGTACGAGCGTTCAGTTCACAGTTGCGTGGTTCCAGCATGACGGTCCGTCGGTATGGAATCGGAAAGATGTTGGTGATGAATTCCATACCGACGGACCATCGGGAACGACATCGATGGACGTCGTTCCCGATGGCAGACATCCGTTGTCAGCAGGGAAGAGGAAGTCAAGAGGGTGGAGTGGGAGAAAGAGATGGGGAAGGTGTAAAGTACGGGAGACGAGGAGAAAGGAATTTGATGTCTCTACATATTCTTCGCTACTGCCATTAAAACGGCACCACCCTGAGGGCTCAACTTAGAACCATGTTACATCCCTGAGTGCATAATGCACCGCGATCCACTCATCGACCATTGGTCTTTCAGCGAATGCAGATGCGATTGGTAATAATACTCCAATGGTCATTTGGTATCTGCGGCAGGAGGACGCGCCCTCTTGCCAAGTCTGCTCGCTACCCAGAATGCGATACCGCCCATTCTTCTCACTGGTCGAACTAACCCCCCAAAAAAGCCAATGATCATACGCGTAGCAGAAGCTACAAGAGCGAGTTATGAGCTTTCAGCGTGCCAACCGCACACGTGCTTGTGAGCGGCAACAAGTTCGCACATATAGCGCTCGCTCACGGATAAAGTAAAACCAACTATAGTGTTTCCAAGCACATCGCAAATCAGCATACGTATATACAAGATATTCTGATAGTGTTATTCCAGCCGTAGAGTAACATCTGTCATTCTACGACTGAACTGACCCTACCCAAACGATAGTTTTCTGCTTGCAACTTATACAGCGTAGGCAAAAATCAGTGTCGCACGCTTGTATATTTTAATTTAATTAAAAAAATATGCAGGTAGGTGCTGCATTTGTCTGTCTGTGTGTGTGTGGGGGGGGGGGGGGGTGTAAATATTAATGAGAAAACTTGAATTAACCAAAGAAACAAAACTTTGACATGGTGCAGTTAAGCCTTTTCTAGACTAAAAGTGGAAAGGCATTCCTCTGAGCCATTGTAAATTTTATTGGGAAAAAACAGCGAACAGCAAAGACAGTATTATTTTTCTTACCCTTTTTGTTATTTGTGTTAAATCAAACACCAATAACAACGCTTTCTTTTACATTGTCACAAGAGAGGTTTAGCTGCATACTGAGCCGTTTAAAATGTTTGTTTTCTGTGTTAACTTTTGATAGAGGCAAATTTCCTCTTGCAGGTTTTTAGAAAATGCTTCACCAAGCAGTATTTTTTTCATAGACTACAATGTCCAATCAAGCGAAACTGATTTTTGAGATTTATTTAAGTTGGATCCGTTAGACCCTCGCTGTAGCTTGCATTGTGAGAAAAATGGCATGTAAAGAAGGAAAGAGTAAAAGTCGTTGATGACGTTACCCTGGAGCGTTCCCTGCGGATCCGAATGCTGTTGTCCTCAGCGTCAAGTTCAGGGATTTTGCAGTCGGTCAGGTAAGGGTGTTTCAGCAGCTGCTCGCAGTTCCATCGCCTCGCAGGATCCTTGTCCAGACATCTCTAAGGAATACAGGACAAGCGCTTTGCACTCCTCGTACTGCGTTGCAGCTTAAGGGACAAATTAAAAATTAGAAAAAAAAATAAAGGGTACACGCTTGCGGGAAAGTAAAATACCATACCTTGAGGAAATCGATTCCAGAAGACTCGATAGAACTTGGAATGACGGATTGTATGGATTCCTAGTGGAAGAGAATAGATCACGCATTCACCGCAATGTTGGCAGACAAATCCGGTGCAAAACACGGGGTTACAGTCGAAGCTGGGTTGCCTGGAAGTCTCGGAGTGGCAACCGATGCTTCGTCGGGACCCCGTAGAAGCACTTGAGAAACGTCGGCTGTCCCTCTGAGGCTTTTATACAATTCCTCTTCGGATGTTTTCGGAGTAATAGAGCTTTCCGGAAATATGTGGTGCCCCCAGCGTCTGCTTTACGCATTGTGACATTTAGATGTGCAGCGGGTGAAATTATCCGAGAAGCGAAGATGAAGTTGTCGTTGGTCTAACAGTTCGTGATTTCAGCAAAACAGAGTATGCCATGACCTTCTTTTCTGTTCGCATAATTCTTGCGAGTGTTCTGAGTTCCTAACGACAAGAAAGAATGAATCGTCCTACTGAAAGGATATACGAAGCGTTCGAGCCGGCACGAGCGTGCATCTGAACACCCCCACAATGCCCCTCGTTGCAAGGTCTCCTGGGAGTTTCCAGAAAGGTCTATTGATTTTCAACAGAACGTTTGAATCGCTTTAAGCCAACTCTAGGCTAACCTAATATAATTCCAGTTTATTAATTCAGTCTAGCTTCCCGAGAACGAAACAAACGCGCATGACTTCTTTTCTAACATACGTGCGGTACAATGTGACCGACCTCAGGGACTCGGATACCTCGCAGAAATCGTGCAACATGAACTTACGATAACGTCCGGGTCCGGAATACTGACTCCGGAGAAAAAATCGTTCGTCTTGAAAATCTGCATATGTCTGGGTATCAGTTCGCCTGCAGAAGAGAAAAATAAAAATTGAAAACTAAGTCAGCAGTCATGATTTTTAATGATGACGAGAATGAAGAACTTAGATTCCCAGAATTCGTGTTTCAAAGGGTAGGTACATACCGTATTTACTCAAATAACAGCCTCACTATTTATGAACAACGCCCTTGAGTCTACCTTGGCACATAAGCCATATACAGCCAATCACTGTTTTGCGCATAAATAACATAGCGAATAACCAGATCGAGAACTCGATTGTCCATACAAATTCAATCTTCACAGAGGGTATCTTCGCAGGAAGACGTTATCTCTGTCCTGTAAACAGCTGGAATCATGCTGTCGATCGTGGCGATTGGCAATCTGCGTGCCTTGCGGAAAAGCGAACCTTCAGGTTTTCTTCATATACAGTGCGGCTATTACTCGACCGAATACGGTACAAGTTACTAGTGGTATAGATTCATGACAGTGTGGATTACCTTAGTGAGCATGAAAAGTAGGCATCGGGTAAGGACAGCATAAATGCAGCTGTAATAAAGAACAGAGCTTTGGAAAATTATAGCAGGTATCAGGTGATGGAGGGAAATGGGGAAGAAAGTAGGGCTGGACAATTGATCGATTAACCTACCGATTAATCGATTAAGGCTTTAACACGATTAATTTTTTTAACAGGTTAATCGGTAACTAGTGTTTTAACAAACCAAAATAACATAAGAAGTAAACGGTTTCACCACGCAGACGTGAACGAGAACACCTGTATGAAGGGCAAACTCTATGTCAAAATATAGTCTAAAGTAAACTCTAGGGGCAAGATTTGTAACTCCTGAGAAGTGCAGAAGGTTACACGTGTAGTTCAGCGCAACAGAGACTATAGTTTGAACAATTGCCGGATAATATCAACGAACCTCTTTAACTCATGCTGCTGAAGTAATACTATGTGAGTGTAAGTGCCTTTGAACTGTTCTTAACCACGCATCAAGGTTGATTCATAATAAAAATTACATATTCTGTCCTTTATCTCATATTCAGAACATGCAAAAACAGAAAACATATTAATTTTTGACGTTTTAAAATATTATGCAAAAAATTAGCATGGCCGATTAATCGAATAAAATGTTGCGATTAATCGAGTTAAAACTTTTAATCGACGCCCGGCCCTAGAAGAAAGTTATATTGCCGAGATCAACTTTTGGTAAACTGGCTTTGGGAGCGCAGGGTGAAGCTCTGAATCGGGGCGTACAAGGGGATGTGGGATGGTCATTTGATGGCAAGGAGCTAGTAGGACGATACAATTTAAAAGAAACTAAGGGACTTGGAAGAGGAACGATGAACTCGGAGAGTTTTTGGCTATTTATACAAGAAGGACGTAGTTACAAAGTGCAGAAAGCGAACGAGAAAACTCAAGTAATAAAAAAAAATGTTTGGGCAATAAAGACACAGATCAGAAAATTACACTTAAGAAGCGAGTTAAAACAGCGGAGAGGAAAATATGGAAAGCGGAGATGCGAACTAAATCGACTCTGGAAACTTATAAAAAACACAAGAAAGATATTGCTAAGGAAAGTATCTACGACTTTATTAGGGGAAGCTCGTTGTTGTTTGAGGCCAGGACAGGGCGTTACGAACTAGGGTGTGCAGAGCGAGACAGCATTGTCCTGTCGTGTTTGTTCTTCTTCGTCTTCTGTGTTTTTTTAGCTGTTTACCTCATCATGCATAACGTCTACCAACTGGCCCAGCTCATCAGTTTACTACGAGATATCGGGACATAGATACGGTGTGTGGGGCATGTGGGGAGGAAAAGAAGAGGGCTGAACACTTAATACTTTACTGTAAAGGGCTTCACCCTCCAGTCGTTCGAGGCCATACTGATTTAGTGAAGGCTTTGGGCTTTAAACGCAGCGACGGGAAAATAGGCGCTGAGAAAGCTGAGATCGCCAAGCATAGGTTATCGAACTGGTGGCATAAGTCGAGGGAAGACTGAAGTTTCGCAGAGAATGGTAGATGAAAGCTCGTGCTTAGCAGCCATATGAGGTTCTTCTGCAATTGTCCATTGATTTGGAATTTAATCGAAGATTAGTTAATTTTAATAAGAAGCTTTAGCTAGGTGGCGCAAGCCGCCGACTGATTTAAATGGTCCAGCCGTATTCATCCATCCAGTGATGATGAGAAAAGCGCAGTCCTTCTCTTTTAGAGAAATATTGACTGAACCTCGGATAGCCCCGTACACTCTGTGCCTGCGCACTCTCTCCAAAGGTTACCGATGGTCCTCCGGATGAGGAAAAGCTGGTCCACGTCCGACTTGCCCGGCCAGAGCGCCTCTCCGCGCATGAGTTCCGCGGCCACGCAGCCCACGGCCCAGACGTCCACGGCGGGGCCGTACTGGGTATCGCCCACCAGCAGCTCGGGGGCGCGGTACCAGCGAGTCGCCACGTAGTCCGTGTAGTTCTCTCCTGGACCTGGGCATGCCACCACAAAAAGGTTTTCTTGTTTCCCTCTCGCGCTCCTCTTGCAAATACAGTCCTCCGTTTCGCTCCAAGATGGAGCCCAGTGGACGCTTTCAGTCATCCCAGCCAACCCTGTGCCGAGAGCGCGCCACGAGCCTATCTGCAACTCGTAGCTCTCAGTTGGCTGGGATGCCTGCAACTCTCCTATGCTGCTGTTCATCTCAGGATGAAATACATGGAAAGATTCTCTCTTCTAATGTAATAAAGCACCATTTTTTATGTATATATACTTTGTGACAGCAAACGGCTTTAGTCTTATGGAATAATCTCCGTTCGAAGTCTGTTTTATGATAGTTACGCCGTTTTGTGGCGCCGAATATTCTCGGAAATGAACTCCGATATTCCGAAACCCTTTAATTACTTCAGAAGTCACTCTCACTTTCTTGCTGCTTAGGGTTAGGCGTGTTATAGTCTTCGTTGGAGTTTGTGAAGCAGAATTTGTATATTATGAATCGGAAGCATGCGCAGCGGACTTAAACATAATGAGAAAGAAACCAGTCCCTGTTCTCGAGGGGCGGATATACAGGTATGTGTTGTGATTCAGAAAAAAACGTACTCAGCGTTCGGGCGAAACCGAAGTCGCACAGTTTGACGACGCCGTCTTTGGTGAGCAGTATGTTTTCTGGCTTCACATCCCTGTGGATGCACTGTAATAAGAAACAAAAACAGTCCAAGAAATGGCGCTAAATATGTAGGAGTGAATCCGGTTAAGAAAATACACCGGTACCCGAGAAATTGATTAATTCCGCTTTTCATTGTTCACGATAATTCTGGTAGGCGACTACCCGCCTAGTTTCACTATAGGCGGACAAACAAGAAGCAAAAAAGGATCATCTATTACTGGACAAATATACACCCTTCTGGCAACCCTGCTGACGCTTGATCGTCACCACAGCCGATGCTCGACAACGCGTGGCTCTCGGCGAGTAAGAGAGAAGAAGCGAGGGATTCCAAATGCGCCAAGTTATGTCTGAGCAATACGTTTACAGTATAGTGTTATGTTCGTGCGCGTTTCGCTTCCTTCACATTCAAACGAACTTGACTTGACGCGCATATAGTGCACAGTCACCTTCGCCGTAGGACAGCGTTGCTTACAACTTTCGCCACACAGAATTCAACTCAAATCTGTCGTCGCGTCGTGGACAAAACTAGGAAACTGAAAGAGTTTGGAAGCAAAGAAAATATAAAGATTAGGCATCACGGGCGCATCTTTTCCTCTCTGCAAATGAGCAAAAAACAAAAACCGGCCCATGGCTCAGAACAGCACTCTATATCCGTCTTTGACATAAACGACTAATAATCAAGCAGCAGTTGCTCACGTGTTCGGAGCTCCCTGCCGGTATCGAGCTTTGTCTTGCTTCAACTAGCGCCTGCCCGAAACGCCAGCAAACAATAAAAAAAAAAAAAAAAAAAAAAAACCTTAAGACTATTAAGCGGCTTTGGTGAAGATATAGTCGGCAGAAATATTTGTTTCTTTTTTCTTTTTTGCCGCGTTGGTGGCAACCGCGGCGATTAACCTTCGCTCCGATAAACTTGCTAAAAATGTATGAGAGCTTTCAACGTGTGAGCAGTTATATTTGTCGAGCGAAACAAACATCGCCGGTGTTGTTGCTCGAATCTGTCGAAGGTGCGACTTAAAAAGAAGGGCACTGACGTTGTGCATGTGGCAGAAGTTGATGGCTTGCAGAGTCTGGTACACTATCCGCTTGGTCAGGGAGTCTGGTACTCTAAAAGATTCAACACAAAAAAAAAAGTACGAGAGGGGTTAGGAGTCAGTTCTGGAGGTGCCGCTAGTTGCGAAAGTAATCAGAAGGCGAGAAGTTCAGGGACACTCAGCCGTAACCCCGAAAACCTAGAAATATTGAGTGGGGCTGAGCTTCAATTGAAACGAGACCTACTTTAGAAGTACAGCAACAACAACTACTATTACTACTACTACTTATACTGCTTCTAGTACTGCTACTACTACTACTAATAATAATACTAGTACTACTACTACTACTCGTAGTACTAATAATAGTACTAATACTGCTACCATTACTACTACTACTACTGCTGCTTCTACTATTACTACTACTACTACTAATACATTAATTGCACACTAAAAATAATTATGCACAGTTCCGCGAAAGCATGGAGATGCATGTAAGCGGGGCCTGACAGCCAGCAGAGATGCCTTGTATGTAAAAAACAAAAATCGGAGAAAAAAAAAATAACACTCAGAGGAAAAAACGCGTGACCACCTAATTAGCCCGAAAAACAGTTAAGAAATCATAGCAATGACTGCGCAGAGGGACCAATTGCTGGACTCAACAACCTAATCAGCCCGGAAAAAAGTTAAGAAATTCTAGTAATGGATTGCGCAGAGGGCCGGATTGCCGGACTCACCCCTTGGGGTGCTTGTCGAGAAAATCCAGCACGGTGTGTTCGCAGTACTCGAAGACGAGGTGCAGCTTTCGCTTCCGCCGGAACACCTCGATCAGGTTCACCAGATTCGGGTGCTTGAGTTGCTACACAGAAGGCGCCAAAATCGTCAACACGTCGGAAGAGAACTCCACCGGTAGGGTACCATTACTCGCTGGCTCAATATGACTCGCTCAACAACGATTATCTGAATCCGATAGCACTCCTAAAGTTTACTTCATTTGCCTGCCAACGATGCATTCTTGTTTGTCGCTGTAGTCGGAAGAAAACCGACGTGCTTAGCTTCCCAGCACGAAACCGACAGACGCCGACCACTAGGTACTTGCGGAGCCGTCAGTTACACCTTACTAGCAACTTTTTTTTTAGCTTGATCGTTACAGACTGACCACTAAGGTAAATGCCACCGAACATGTAATGTACGGCAAAATATTGCTTCGATCCCTGAAAAAACAATACAAAAAACAAGCTAAATTCGCATGGTGGATGTGCAGAAATCGGTGTTGTTCCCGCTACAGTGACAACGATCGGAAAGCTTCTGATTGTTTACTCATCCGCGAAGCATTCGGAGCGCTGGTCATTGGTTTTCATTCGATGGACTGCGCCAACAAGAAAGACGAGCGGTATCATGCCCGAATGACCACGCAATTTCAGTGGGCAAAGGAGACGCCTCTTTCTGTAGATTACCATTAGGACACGACACAGATCTCCCTTCCTCTCATTGGATGAAATGGTTAAAGGGCGACCAATTACGATCGTTCCTCTTTATTATGCACCCGCGAACATCTGAGCAGACATGTACAAGTTACTGAAATTAAGTAAATAAAAACCGTTATTCGTTACTTGCTTAAGAGGAAACGAAGTGCCTTACTCGTCTTTAAAAGGTACTCGTTACTTCAGTTCCGAAGTAATATTACTCTGAATGTGGTCGTTTTCCTGAAGCCCATTAACCGCCTTTCAGTATTTTCCATCATGAATAACTCCTCGTTTTTAACGCATTCATTCGGGGATACCTGGGACGATAGTGACGTACCCTGTGCACATTTTGTTTTATTGTGTATCTAGCGTTCTTTTTCCCTTGCAAGTCACAGAATAGAGCTGGGGTGAGAGCTAGGTTGGATACTTGTGACGCCCTTCTCCAGAAATAACCGTTGCTCTTCATCAGAAAGTAAGCAAGATTCATTAACTTAAAAAGTAACAAAGTAACTAGGCGTAAGTAATGCGCAACGTATAGGTCTGTAAACGAACGTGTAAGAGTGGTTGCGTGCGCACCTTGAGCATGCGTATCTCCCTGAGGGCGATCTTCTTGATGAGCGGGTCGTCCTCGGTCTCCACGTACTTCTTGACGGCCACCAGCTGCCCGGTGTCTCGCACCCGGCACTTGAACACCACGCCGTACGAGCCCTCGCCGATCTTGGAGATCTTCTCGTACTTCTCCATCAGCGGCGTGTAGTAGTACCGGTTCTTCCTGCGTAGAAAATCGCCCGCCGGTCACGTCATGGAAGTCATTCGTTTCGGGTGTCGTCCAAACACTCACTGTAGAAACGAATGGAGTCCCTTTCCGAGTTTCTCAAGTACTGCATCGGTAGATGATAACAGCCCCAACTTGCTAGCGTAACAACGAAGCAGATGTCGTCTGCTTCGGGGTTCACGCTGATTGACAGTGGTGACATATTGTTACAGGTGGTGACCAAAAGTACAATAATTAAACAGAAAGAAATAAACGGTCAATGTGGGGAACTTGTGCCGAAAACAATAAGGGAATGGAGGATAACAACAGAGTGTCGCGAGCGTCGAAGTCGGCGTAACAGCAGGATAGAACGCTGGGGCGAGACTGACTCCGCTCGCCACGCGGAGTCCCTTATGTACCGTCGTGGGTTTCTGGAACATTCGGCGTAGAACTTTCGGCGCGTAGAACATTCGAAACTCGATCAGACGAGAATGTTCTCGAACTTAGGGGAACGCCCAGTTGAAATAACAAATAAAAGGACATTCTGCTCGCTGGAATCGAACGTAGACCTTCCGCGTGACAGTCAAGCGCGCTAACCATTCGGGCAAGCACGCGCTCGTCGGCTCGGCTCGCTCGTCGGCGCGCGTGGCAATATGAGAGACATTTCTATATTCATTAATGAAGGCAAACGGTGTTCGCATAAACCGACGACAACTCTTACAAGTAGACGTCCCATGCTCATGTGTTCAAGTTCACGTCATTTGAGAGATGCAGGGAAAAACAAGCGCACTTTATCTGCTTCTGCTGTCCGAGGGCGTTTTTTCGCGGGCAAGTTGAGTATCCTGTCTCTAACTTCGTCGTTCTGGTGACCCTAGGTTCTGAAAATGTGGAGCCTTACATGAACCGCTAGCGCTACATTCTCAGGGAGCCTGTTCTTTAGGCGTTGCGTGGCTTAGCTTTGCTGTGCGAAAAAACGGTTGGTTTATTTTTGCGCCAAATCATGCACACATTTCTCTGTTCCACGAGTTGAATGCTTCATTCGTGAAAATGCATTTTTTATCGCGAAGCTGTTTATGGCTGGCTTCTGGCGGATCGTCTTCGGCGACAGACCGAGCGTAGACCCACAATTTTCAAACGCAACGATGTATGTCCCCCTTTATACTCCTCTCCACCGCCGCCGCCTCTTTCCCGAGTCGTGTATACTCCTCCTCGCCACACGCAGCGTCTCTCTCCCTCCCCCTTGACATTGCGCAACGCCGCGCGCTCTTCGGCGGCCACTTGTGCGGCGCATCAGTGCCTGCGCCGTGATTGGCGTAGCCACGCTATAATGAAACGTCATTGTCTCTAACCACCAATCGTGTGTGTCCTTTTGCTTGTGACATAGAGATCGCGCCACTGTCCTTCCCTCCCCTTTTTGAATAAATAAGTTGAGCAGTCCCGCGTTAATCTACAGTACAGTCACTGCGATATCTGTCGCACGTAACGTCCAAGTCGTTGTGCATCGGCGTCGTGCTCACGCACTGTGGTTTGCGTGAACAAAAGCGTCCGGAACAAAATAGCCATCTAACATTTTTGCTCCGAACGCTTTTGTTTCTTTTTTTGTTACGGAGCACTTGAAAACGCGTCTTCCGGCACCAGCTCTTGGCACTGACAGTGCTACGATGACATTTTGTTATCGACTTTTTTTTTCAGTGAGCGCGTGCAGTGGGCATCGGATGCTACAAAAACACTAAGTACAACGCGGGTTGTTGACGCTGTGGCGTAGCTCTGTGGTAACGCCTCCGCCTCGCACGCAGAGGTCTCAGGTTCGATTCCCACGGGCGATCTTTTTCAAGCATTGGGCAACATCGGCGACGGACGCCGTACGCCTTACTGCGTCAACTACAACAACATCAACAGCTACAACATCATTAACTCTAAGAACACAAAGAACAAAAATTCTTGGAAACCTTATTAGCAAAAGGGAGTGAGAGCTGATCGAAGCGTACAATATGAGGTAGGCAGGAGAGGAAAGCTGCGTACACACTTCCGATAAGGAATTCGCCTTTTTTATGCGGGGACGGCGATTCTGTTTATAAATAATTGTGTTTTCAATAGAGCTTTCAGTTGTAAGTAGCGCTCTATGCTGTCCTGCATTCCTTGTCCTCGTTTTTCTGAGGCGCTCTTATCTGAATGTACACTAACTACGGACATCGTTTCCAGTGGTGGGAAAAGCCCGTAACAGATACCGCTGCAAAAAAGTGATCAGTGACGCAGTCTCACTTAAAAGGGCGGTGCAACGATTTTCTGGGCCAGTTAACTGCGGGGAATTAATCTTTGTTAGCTATGAAACCAAGAACAGAAAACCGTATTTTCTTCCGCGCGCTAGTTTTTAGTAAAACAAAATTAAACAGATCGAAGGTCAAAGTGCCTCTTGACCAGACTTGTAAAGTACCTAGGTACAAGTAACTGGAAATCGGTACCTAGGTCATTTTGTTGTACCTGAGGTACAAACCTAGAACCTTTCATTTCTTGGTATCTGTATTTGTATCTTAGGTACATTTTCCAGTAACTTGTAACTAAGTGAAGTTACTTTTTACAGGTACTTTTTTATTCACTTTGTCAAAATGGTAGAAACTATAAATCTTGAAGTATTAACACACTACCATGTGCCGTGATTAACGTTGAGTTTGGTACGACCTTGGAGGCACTGACTTGGTCGAACGACATTTTAGCAAGGGAGGCCTCAGCCATGATGTTTCATCGAACGACACTTTAGCGAATGGCGGTGTTCATTTGAGCGAACGGTGGATTAGCGATGCCATTCTAGCGACACAAATTTATCGAATCGCTTCGGAACTCCGTTTAGGGAAGGTAGCGACCTGCTTCCTTCATCTCAAACCGAAATCGACTTCATTGCGTGTTTGAAGCTCCTCCGACAGCTATGCAAGGGAGGAGATAACTTGAAAGATGTGCGCAGTTTGTGTTGCCTGCATCTTGTCCTGATGGTGGCTCTCTTCTGCCATAAATACAATAAAAAATATGATTGAAAATAAATTACAATTACAATCGTAAAGCATTGTAACATCGCGTATATAATACAGTTTCCACTCACTAAACGGACTCAAATTTTGCAGTTATCAAAGCTGAAAAAATTCCGAAAGAAAACAAACCTTATTTTTCTTCCAAGTAACAAAGCCAAAAAAAAAAAGAAAAGAAAAACGAGAAAGCTTGAAGTTTTATGTTTGTCGTCGCGAAGGTTAGTTGCATATTCACTCGACTCATGCGTTTCTTCATGCGGCCGGCGTCTTCTGGGCCCGTCGACGTCAGCACCGGCTCATGTAAATGCGTTTTTTCTTATTTCTCGCATTTGCACCAATAAAGCACATATATCGAAGTCGTTTTTGTGTGTATACTTAATATAAAAAGCTTTACTTCTTATATATTCTGACAAATTTGAAAAAAAAGTATTTTTGAAGTAACTGTACCTGTAATTGGTACATTTTAAAACGAGTACCTACGTACGTACTACCTAGGTGCCTTTTCGTATGAATAACTGTAAATGTATCTTAGGTACAGTTTTGAAGTAACTTTTACAACCTTGCTCTTAACTCACCACATCGTCTCTCGAGTGACGTACTCTGGGGGATCACGTGGTTTCCCGTTGGGTTCGCTCTTCAGAGACCCCAGCCGCGTCCTCCGCGATTGTCCATTTTTCAGAGTGGCATCGTCGAAGGTCGCGGCAAGTGACCGACACAAAAGACGGTTCGCCACGGGCATGACGGCGGGTGTATAGCAGCCGGGGGGGACAGGTTTTGTTGACTTCCGCGTATCCCCCAGAGCAGGGCTGGCCAGATATACTCTCAAAAGTATTTGTAAATACAAATACCAGAATACGTGGCGAAAAAAAGTTAAAATACTGATACTGAAATACATTTATAAAAATGTATCGCACTACGTATCAGAAATACAATTGAAAAATAGAAAAGTATTTGGAAATACAAGTAGAGGGATACATTTTGCTACGGCAGAAATACAGACACTGAAATACGTTGTTATAAAACATTATTGTAGATGTTTGGGTGCACTTTACGAAGAAGAAAGAAGCATGATTTACGATACGAGATTTTGCTTTTACACTAGCAAACAAGTACTCACTCAAAGATGGAGTCTGAATTTTGACGTGACGTTGTTGTGGCTTGAATTACATTTACTGCAGGACTAACATCTTGCATTTTTCGAAGTATAAGAAAGCAAACGATTTTTTACCATGAATCGAGCGAGGTTTCGTTTCGGCATCTCTTATCATCCTGAGACAAAATTCCCGTGACCTTTAAATCAATTTTGTGTCTTCCCAAATAACCTCGTGAAGTGACTATGATAATGTCTAATCCCGCTGCTTTCAGCGGTGACCTTATAACGCCTTAACGTCACCGGGGATTACGGGTTCATTGAACCCGTATTCTTTTATTTGCTAGTTGGGCGCACCGACCGGCCCTTCAACTTTTGAAATCTACAGGAAGAGTCGACCACCTGAAATGCGGTAAATCATTTGTTAACTTTTGTAGAATAAGGAAGGGGGTCATTTAGGGTAGGAGAAACAAAACGTGCCGGACGAAACTTTGTCTCGACCTTCTGTGTGAAGGTTAAACATATTTTAATATTGTAGCGAAATAGATCGACCCTAAAAGTGTCGCGATACCAGGAATACACCCGACAATTTATTTGGATACAAAACTACAAAATACAGTTGAAAAATTATGTCGCGGTAGAGAAATATGAACAGATAATGTCTTTCTGAAAAATGTATCGCGGTACTGCCCACACCTGCCCCAGAGACGCTGTCACTGTAGTTCCCGGAACCGCCACATGCGGCTGGAAATTGCCATATAATTCGTTTTTTTCCTTATTATTTTTTTTTGTGATTACGCAGCGGAATAGCAGTTTTTCGGGACAAGGTGACACGTTTTTGGTCACTTGTGCTTAGATAAAAAATATAAAAAATAATAAACTGCCAGTTCTTTCAACATTA